ACAGATAACCACACCATTTTTGATTCACACAACGTTGAATGAAAGAAGCCAAAGAGTAATGCACACCCACCGTATAATTCTATTTAAATAGATTTCAAAACCAGGCGAAACCTAATCTATGACGTTAGAAATCAGGGTTGGTGTTACCTTTGGGAAGAAGGATGGAGATAGTCAGTACACAGGGGCAAGAGGCAGGCTTCTGGAGTATTGGTAATACTCTTTCTTTCTTCCTGGACGGGATGTTCACATTGTAGGAATTCATTTAAAAAAAAAACAAAAGCCTCACTGCCATCAAGTTGGTCCCGACTCATAGCGACCCCTCCTTGAGTTTCCAAGGCAGTATCTCTACGGAAGTAGATTGCCCAGTCTTCCTTCTGAGGAGTGGCTGTTGGGTTTGAATCGCCAGCCTTCTGTTTAGCAATCACATGGCTTAGGCACTATGCCACCATTTAGGTGCACATAATATTTGTTGTTGTTGTTGTTGTTGTTATGTGCCATCGAGTCAGACCTGACTCATAGCGACCCCTCCTTGGGTTTCCCAGGCAGTATCACTACGGAAGTAGATTGTCCAGCCTTCCTTCCGGCACATAATATTAAGCAAAATAAATTAGGCAAAAAAGAATTTGAAATGTAGGATTCATTTACCTGGAGTTTAAAACAGGTAAAGCTCATCTTTACTTTAGACAACAGAATGATGTTTACCTTTGGTGAGGAAGCAAGGGTTTGTTTAAGGGGGCCACAAGAAGTGCTCTGGACTGCTGGACATACTCTGTTTTAACAAAGTACCATCTGTGGTACTTTGTTACATCAGCCCCAAGAAACAAATACAGAACTGTATATGTGTGTATGTGAATATATATGCACATATATATTAGAAACCATGAGTTCACAGTTAACAGTATTTTTATAAAGTTTGCTGATGATTCTGCAGCACAGCCAACACTGAGAACCAATGTTCTAGTCCTTGGTTTTCTTTCCCTTTACATTTTTAAGATGTACCTAGAAAAATAACATCTAAGTGTTATTTTGTTCTAAATTGGTAACTTTGGAAGATCTCTAAGGTAGACTCTCAGGGGTAGTAACCTACACCACTGTGATGGAGTGCCTGAACCTTTATCTGAACTGTTCTACCAGGAAACATTCAGGAGTAAAACAATGTAAATGGGGTGAAGAGGGAGGTCACATCTTCTGTTACTTTCTTGTTATTGTTGTCAAGTGCCTTCAAGTTAGTTTATGACTCACAGCTACCCTACATACAACGGAACAAAACACTGCTTGGTCCTGAGCCATCCTCACAATCATAGCCCACTGTAGCAGCCACTGAGTCAAACCATCTTATTGAGGGTCTTTCTTTTTTCCCTTGACCCTCTACTTTACCAAGCATAATGTCCTTCTCCAGGGACTGGTCCCTCTTGATAACATGCCCAAAGTACCTAAGATGAAGTCTCATTCTCACTTCTAAGGAGCATTCTGGCTGTACTTTTTCCAAGGCAGATTTGTTTGTTCTTCTGGCAGCCCATGGTATATTCAATATTCTTTGTCAACACCATGATTCAAAGGCATTAACTTTTCTTCAATCTTCCTATTCATTGCCCAGCTTTTGCATGCATATGAGGTGACTGAAAATGCCATGGGTCAGGTGCATCTTTGTCCTCAAGGTGAGATCTATGTGTTTTTACACTTGAAAGAGGTCTTTTGCAGCAGATTTGCCCAATGCAATATGTCGTCTTACTTCTTGACTGTTGCGTCCGTGAGTTGTTTGTGGATCCAAGTAAAACGAAATCATTGACAACTTCCATCTTTTCTCCTTTTATCATGATGTTGCTTATTGGTCCAGTTGTATAGATTTTTGTTTTCTTTATATTGAGGTGTAACCCATACAGAAGGCTATACTCTTTGATCTTCATCAGTGTTTCAAGTCTTCTTCACTTTCAGCAAGCAAAGTGGTGTCATCTGTGTATCACATGTTGTTAATGGAGTCTTCTTCCAATACTGATGCCATGCTCTTCATATAGTTCATCTTCTCAGAGTCTTTGCTCAGTATACAGATTAAACAGGTACTTGTCTGTCAGTTTGTTGTACTGTGGTGACTTGTGTTGCTATGATGGTGGAAGCTATGCTATTGGTATTTTGAATACCAGCAGGGTCACCCATGGTACGTAGGTTTCAGTGGAGCTTCCAGACTTAAGACAGTCTGGGAAGAAGGACCTGGTGAAAAAAACTGGCCGGTAAAAAACTTTATTGATAGTAACGGAACACTGTCTTCCATTACACTCCTATCATTTCAGCACTGGATGTTTCAAAGCACTTTCATTTCCTTGGTGATGTGGAAGGAAATAATGACTTTGTGGGTTGAAGCAGTCTGGAAACATTTAGCCTTTATCAGAGTTTTTAAAGTTATTCCTGTGTGGGGCCTATAGTCACATACTGTTTGAGCAGTTAAAATTTAGAGTAACTTGGTGGTAAAGGATTGGATTGCCTGCTTTTGGGCTGAGGAATAATAAAACAAGAACAATTTCTGTCCTGTTGACTCAGACTCATGGCGACCCCAAACATGTCAAGAGTAGAACTGTGCTCCGTAAGGTTTTCAATGGTTGAGTTTTCGAAAGTAGCTCATTAGGCCTTCCTTCCTAGGCACCTTGGGTGGACTTGAACCATCAACCTTTTGGTTAGCGGCTGAGCTAAACACACGGTTTGACCCTTGGCCACCTCGCCCATCTCACACCTTCAGTAGCGACCCATCCAAACCTCCCATCACCGCTCTCCACAGGCACCCAGCCATCCTCGGACGCACACCTACTCAACCCAGATCCCGAGTCCCCCACCTGCAAAAAGCCCCACAGAATCCCTGTCACCATGTCCACAGACCCAGCAATGGCGGACCGCAGCCGCCCCCCGGGCCAGATACCCGCTGCAGCAGGGAGAGACCCCTACACCGGACTCTGTGGCCCCACCGAAGCCTTGCACTCCCCTCGACCTAGGCACTATGCTACCAGAGCTCCTAAGAATAGTGTCAGTATAAATAAAACGTCATTGTGACCTCATGTGACCACCTTCCAAATAAATATAAAACCAAAATCAAACCCACTGCCACCGAGTCCATTCCTACTCACAGCAACCCTATACAACAGAGTAGAACTGCCCTGTAGGGTTTCCAAGACTTTAAGAAAGCATAGTGCCTAAGGCACTTGACTGCCAACCAGAAGGCTGGCGGTTCAAACCCACCAGCCGCTCCTCGGAAGGAAGGTTGGGCAATCTACTTCTGTAGTGATACTGCCTCAGAAACCCAAGGGGGGGGGTCGCTATGAGTCGGGTCCAACTTGATGGCACATAACAACAACAACAACAACAACAAGGAAGCAGAAGACTGCCTCATCTTTCTCCTGCAGAGTAGCTGGTGGGTTCAAACCACTGACCTTTTGGTTAGCAGCCAAATGCTTTAACCACTGTATACCATACTACTAGCAATCTGATACATTCTATATTGTTGTTGTTGTTATGTGCCATCGAGTCAGCCCTGACTCATAGCGGACCCTCCCTGGGTTTCCAAGGTGGTATCACTACGGAAGTAGATTGTCCAACCTCCCTTCTGAGGAGTGGATGCTGGGTTTGAACCGCCAGCCTTCTGGCTAGCAGTCAAGTGCCTTAGGCACTATGCTACCAGAGTTCCTACATTCTATATTAGAAAACACAATTTACTATTGGGGGAAAAAACAAACATTCATCTCTATACTAAAGGGGGATCATCTCTGGGATAGATCAAGTGAAGAAAGCATGGTGCAGGCCATTCTTTGATTCTGTTTGCTTTTCTCCTTGGTATCGCCATGAGATTTCCTTCTAAAACATGCCTCATCTTCCCAGTATCTTTCTGTTGTACTCAAAAGTAGGGTAGCACGACCTTCTTAGGCAACTGTGCTTAGAAGTCAGCACAGCACGTTCTCCCGTACCTCTCCTCCCCATCCCTAACTGTTGCAAACCCAATGATATTTATTGGTCCACTGCTGGCGACAGGAGAAGGAACACCAGTGCCGGAGACTGATCAGATCTGCGTCTGCTGCACAGCTGAAACTGTGGGCATGTAAGTTCCTTCATCTTTCTGAGTCTGAATTTTCCCCTTGGCCCAGGGCAATGATACTGGGAATGAAAGGAGGTGAAGCACAGAACTACACAGCACAATGCTAGGTGCTCCATAAATGACCATTATCATTATCTTAGTTCCATGTCTAAGGGGACTCAGATACAGCTAGGATTGTGAGACTGGCACAAGACAGGGCAGAGTTTCGTTCTGTTGTACATACGGTCACTTTGAATGGAGACGACTGGAGGGCACCTAACAACAACGTGTCTAAGGGACTTATTTAGGCTTTTTAAGCTCTGCTTCCCCAATTTTCCTGCAAGGGATACATTCTAACATCCCTGTCTCCCCTGGAAAGCCACTCTGGAAAGTTAAGTAATGATGAGTCTGTTCCTGGTTCTTTTAGCACTTGTTAAAGTAAAGGTTCTTCTTTCCTCTTCTCCTACCCAGAGAGCCCTTTAAAGGAGCAAGCTCTTTGTCCTCAGGATTTCAGAAGAGAGTTTACTTTTCTGAAGATGCTTTGTTATGTCTAACTGTGTTACTGTGCATTACAAGTTGAACAATGTTATTTGTTGTTATTATTTATATTATTTACTATATAGAAAGCTGTCTAACAAGGCAGTCACAATTTTAAAAATAAGTCAATAGTATGGACTAAGAGTTTAAACTTGGGATAATGTCTATATTATAATTGCTTATTGACCTAAATTACATTTTTATAGTAAGGACTGTATTAATTTTAAAAAGGGCTTAATTTCTTTGCTCATATGTTTGCTTTGTTTTCCTAATCCCTGAAGTAAATCAAACCCATTGCCACTGGGTCGATTGACTGCTATTTAGAAAGCCTACAGCACCAGGTATTGCAAGGCAGTCTCCCATCCAAGTACTAACCAGGGCCGACCCTGCTTAGCTTCCAGGATCAGACATGGCAGAAAAACCAGCATGTGTGTCCTCACAAATACCCAATGATGAAGATACAGTGAGTATATTTTTCAATAAAACTCTGCATTTTGCACTTCAATAATATTCTATGTTTTCAAAAGACCAACTCAGTAACTGGAATGTTGTTGTTGTTGTTTGCTGTCGAGTCGGCCCCGACTCACAACGACCCCTCCTTGGGTTTCCGAGGCAGTATCACTACGGAAGTAGGATTGCCCAACCTTCCTTCCGAGGAGTGGCTGGTGGGTTTGAACCGCCAGCCTTCTGGTGAGCAGTCAAGTGCCTTAGGCACTATGCTACCAGAGCTCTAGGCCTATGTAATACAGGCTTATGTTTGTTATGTTTGAACTTTTATACTGATTGGAATTAAATAGCAGCAATGAGTTAAATTCTTGTTGAGTGTTTCCTGTGCCTGCTGCCTTTGTTGGTGATACCAAAAAAAAACTATTTAACAACAAAATAATAATTAAAACTCCAGAACCTCCCATAAGCATTTATATGAAATTAACTTTAGGAAGTGGTTGGGTGGCTGCTTGTTGGTGGTTTGACTGAGTGGGAGTTTGAAGCAAATGCTTCTAAGTTCCGTTTTAAGATGAGCCCGTGTATTAGGGAAAATATATGGTAATTACATTAAATTTAGATTAAAGAGGGAGTAGGATATCTGAATGTAAGGCATTGGTGGTTTAGTGGTAGAATTCTCACCTTCCATGGGGGAGACCCGGGTTCGATTCCCAGCTGGTGCACCTCATGTTTAGATAATACCTGTCTGTCAGTGGAGGCCTGCTTGTTGCTGGGATGCTGAACAGGTTTCAACAGAGCTTCCAGGTTAAGATAGAGTAGGAAGAAAGATCTGGTGATCTCTTTCTGAAAAATTAGCCAGTGAAGACCCTATGGATCACAATGCTGGTCCACAGCTGATCGTGGGGATGTGCAGATCGGGCACCAAAGCAATCCCTTGTTCATGGGGTCGACATGAGTTGGGGGCTGATCTGATGGATGCTAATAGCAAGTATATCTGAATTGGTGCAAACTGAGTCTTTTAGAATTTTTTATGACAAAAAAGTTTCAAGAATATCCATAGGTATTCAACTATATTAAATAATGTTCCTTTATGTTTAATAACTAGGGATGCTGACCCTGGTGTCACTTCCTCCAATCATGCTAAGGGCACTCCAATTACGCTGTATCTTAGTTTGACTCACCAAACTACCATCGTTTTTCTCTTCTCACTCTGTTACTCCTCTGGAGTGAATGGTTTATTCCACCTGTTATAATTTTCTGGAACAACTATAACACACAACTATCATCAGTGTGTGGCATTAGGAATAGAACTGTATACTCTCAGTTTGGGAGGCTACAAGTGGAAATCAGGGCACCAGCTGGCTCTCAGGGAAGGTCTGTCTGTCTGGGTTTCCTTTCAGCTTCTTGTAACCACCAGCATCCTTGGCATCGCTGGGGTTGAAGATGCTTCTGCCTCCATCATCCTCTGGGGCCTCCCCATGTGTGTCTCTGTGTCTAGTCTGCTATTTTTTAAAAAAAACACCACTCTGGAGAGAGTAGGCTTAGAATCCACCCTACTCCCATATGGCCTCATTTAGATTACAAAGAAAATCCCTATTTTCAAACAGGGTTGTAGTTACAAGGACAGGGGTTGGGACTTCAACATAACCTTGTTGGGGACACAATTCAATCCATAACAACCTGTTTCTCCATCAGTCACACTTTTAAAATCATAACCTGCCTTTCATTTTTATTCATTGCTTTTCTGAATCTACCATTAAGGTCATGTTTCAGTGACTAAATCAATGGCTTTGCTCATTCTGTATCATCTTGACCCCTCTTTGGCATGAAATCATGGTGACCACTCCTTTCCAAGCGTGAGATCCAAATCATACAATTTTGGAATTAAAAGGAACCCCAAAGGTCAATTAGCAGACTTAATCGGATATACAAATGCTTGCGACAAATGCTTTAACAAGTAATCTCCCAAACTTTCTCTGAATTCTTTCACAACTGGACTATTTACTGTCTGTCCTCTCATAGAAACATATTTTTAAAAGCATGCTCACATCCTCAGAAGAAAATTTCAAACCACAGGAAAATGAAAAAACTCTCTTTGTTTTTTGTCAGTAATCACTTCTCCTTGGACAAATTTTCCTATCAGCACACACGGATCAACCTTATCTTGTTAGTAACTTTGTACTTTTAGAATGTATGAATGTATTGTCTTTCAGTAACCAGTCTCCTCTTGATAGGTGGAGGTAACTTCTGGACATCATTTGTTTATTGCTGTACAATGCTGCACTGAACATCTTTCTACTTACCTTTCCGTGTACCTGTTAGGCTTCTTACCTAGAAATGGAATAGTTGGATCAGAAAGCATGTGCATTTTAAGATGTGATGTTGTTGTTATGTGCCACTGAGTTGGACATGACTCATGGCGACCCCTCCTTGGGTTTCCAAGGCAGTATCACTATGGAAGCAGATTGCCCAACCTTCCTTCCAAGGAGTGGCTGGTAGGTTTAAACCGCCAGCCTTCTGGTTAGCAGTCAAGTGTCTTAGGCACTATGCTACCAGAGCTCCTTTAAGATGTTATAGTAATCACCAAATTATCCTATAACGATGCTATGCCAATTTATACTCCCACTCTCAATGCGTGAGAATACCTGTTTTTCCTTATTTCCCCTACCTTGGAACCAAGGCCTGTTACATGGGCCCGTTTAATTTTTGGATAACTTTAATTATGAGAAAGTCCTTCTGGCACATTGTATGAAATTAGCCCTTTGGAACTTGTTGTCCTTTTGCCATGCCCTTGAACTCCATAAAATAAATACAACCTCTTCCCAAGTGACAGTCTTCATGTGTTTTCAGCTCTCTGCTTTATTCCTCTGACGAGTTTCTCTTGCTCTCAATACTCTGTTTTCTCACATATCATCTCAAATTGCGTCATTAGCCTGGTCACTCTTCTTGGGGTAGAGTCACTGGTTGGTTCAAATAGTTAATGTGTTGCTAACCAAAAGGTCGGAGGTTGAAGTTCATCCAGAGGTCCTTGGTAAAAGGCCTGGGGATCTCTTCCCCCAAAAAATCATCCATTGAAAACCCTACAGAACACAGCTCTGTTGTGACACACATGGGGTCACCATGAGTTGCCTGGCCGCCCGCTTATTCCCCTGCAGGTCCCTTCCTTCATTTCTCCCTCCCTTTCTTCTTCCTTTTCTCCCTCTCTCTCCTTCCCACCTTCCTTTCCTTCCTGGCTATTTAATGAGCAACACCTCTGCACAAGGAATTTTGCACAACATAGGATGGTGTGCAGCCTGCCACTGTCCCTCTTAAAGTTGACCATGATGAATCCCAGGAAGTTTGACCAACACAGGTAAGTTCAGGCTGCCCCATCTTTTTGTCTGGATCCACTGGCCACCACAGGTTTTTGTCTTCAAAGCTATATTACAACATTAAATCATTACACTTACAATCAACTCAGTTCCTTACTTCTTTTCTTTTCTATGCCTTTATTAAGCTTCATTTGCCAGTAAGCCATATCTTATAAATATGTGATCACTTTGGGGGTTGTAAATGGGATGCGATACGGAACGCGATACATTTTAATTCTTTTGGGTTTCCCCTAGTTCTTTTGCTTGTCACAATGTTTTTATCATTGTCATGACACTGATTCTTTTTTCCTCCCTGTCTGGCCATGTATCTTCTCCTCTTTCAGGCTTATCTTTGCACCTCCTGAGAGTGGGTCCTTCTCAGTCTTGTTCTCGGGCTGAGGCGGTACTCACAAGTACCTAACTGCCTTCAGGGTATCTCTACATTTGCTTGAAAATTAACTTTGAAACTTGAACCTATCTTACACATACACACACCCAACTACTAGCTTCCTCTTCTGATTTTCTTGTTGTTGATGGTGCTCATGGTGTCTGGTTAGTCATCCAGTTCTTCTGACACCCCCCCCCCC